AAAAAGTTACTCTCCTGAAAAGAACAAACACATAAATAGACCCAGATAGAGTTAGGATAGAACATCCAGGAATAAATGCAAAGCTTTTGCTTACCTACTGAAAATATCTCCTGTGAGCAGAACTACAGGAGACGAAGTCAAGCTGAAATCCAAACAGAAAACGTCCTTTGTTCAGAGCTTCTTTCCAGGTTGATTCATCCACACTTTTGGATTTGTGCATTTCACAGATAATATAGGAGAAATCTCTCCAGGGTACCTTTCAGGTTGTGAGCAGGCCACATTGGCATTGAGAAGGAAATATGTTGTTTGAGGGAATGACAAGTGTAAAGGGGAGTGGGAGGAGGGAGACAGTCCCTAATTTTGCACTTGTGCAAATGAGAAGATACAAGTGGTTGGGAAGAGGAACAAGGCATTGGATTGGCTGTAGCACATCACAGATTGAGTGAGGCCAGTGGGGACAACTACAGAGGGAAGAGGGGCTTTGAAAGTATAAACTGGCCAAATTCCTTGAAGAGGTGTTCAATGCTTACATCATCCTTGCTTTTCTTCTTTCTGCTTCAAGTTCTGCTTCTATTTGCAAAGGAAATCTGACAGAGGGATAGGAAGAGACAGCGTCCCTTTCTTTTTTTTCTCTGAGTGAACAATTTTGCTTCCCTCAAATACCCGGATTTTTGCATTTAGGGGGCTGGTGGATTTTGTTGGTTTGTTTTCAGGTTTGTCTGCTATATGCAGCTGAAGCTTTTGGGAGGTAGGAAATGAGGGAAAAAAAACAAGTAGGAGTGCTCATGACAAAGAGGATCCCCAAAGGACAGAGAGAGAGATTTATCTGGGAGAAGTGGATATTTTTTTAAAAAATAAACTACATATCTATTACAAAAGGGGATGGTTTTATATTATGTCTCAGACTAATGAAAACCACAGTCATGCAGTGAAAATAAAGGAGAACTGATAAAGTAAGGATGATTCTCACTGCAAAATAACAAAGCAGAAGCATGAGAGGGAATCTTTAAAAACTAAATAGCTGCCATCCTTATTTTCTATAAGGAAAGCTAGAATGAAGGGAGAACACAGCAGCGTGGCCACATTCTCCTAAAGCAACCCTGATCTCCTTTGGACTATAAGGCCTGGCAATTCCATTAGAAGGATGAAAATAAGAAGTTTGCCCTCTCCACACCCTCCAGAGCAGTCACCTTAAAATCCTTAATTTGGGTGGCTTTAACAAACCATGATAGCTTTTCAATAATGGGTGATCTGTCATATACTCCCTCACTCTCTCTCTAATGTGGCCATTAAATAACTATGTATGGGTATCTATGCATGTTAGTTTTGAGTTTTGATTCGAGAAACACTTTTCTGAATTGGAGCTTTCGCAAAAAGAAAATAAATAAATAAAACCTTCCTCCCTTGAAAATCTACTTTCTTTGTAGAGCAATTTGAACATATCATCTAGATGGGTTTATGATTTCTTCATCATCTAAATATTATATGTGTAAAGAGGCTCAAGGAAATCTACAAGATCAAAACACAGAGTACCACTTTTATCCCCAAAGCTATGTAAATTGAGGAGAGGTTCCTACTCAAATCAGGTATATGTGCTTTAATTATGCAAGACATGGTTTTACCTCCGATGAATTAAAACTGCTGCTTCACTTATTTCTTAAGGATTTAAAAATTGTGCCTTCAGTGGTGTTAGGACTTGTTCAGTATAGGAAAACCATGTCTAAACTGTAGGATGAAGGAACTCTAGAAGGTCAAAGCAGTGCAAGGGTCTTTTATCCTGAGGGCTACATAAATTCAGTGACAGCTTCCTGCTCAAAGGAGCCATTTCATTCTGCTCTCCTGCTA